GAGGTGGTGGCTGTAGTCTGGGGTGAGGTGGCTTGAATTGAGTCTGGTAGCAAAGGGCAGCATCCCGCTTGCATGTGGAGGACAATGCCAGTAATTTTATTAAAATAAAATAAATTTAATCCTGTTTGGCACTGCAAGCACTAGTTGTCTGGCATTTCTTTCAAGGAGTTAGGCTCTTGCTATCACGAGTTTGCTCTTTCTGTCTCATTTTTTATCTCCTTCAGATCGCGCTTCAGTTTCACTGTGCTCCATCTCCTTTTTCTTGTGACTGCAGAGAGCAGCTGCTGGTGTTGCAATCGCTTCAGCACTTTTAACAAATCTTGACTTTTCCCATATTTAGCAGCCCTTGATGTCCAATGTGAAGCTTTACCTTCAGGAAAGATTCTTGTTGCTTTGTTTGTATTTCTTCCAAGTACATATTCATGCCATCGGGCTCTCTCTGCCAAAGCTGAGCTGCTAAGAGTCCCAAGGCAGCGTGGTTTCTCTGGCAGGGAGGTAGCAGCTCTTGGATTCATCCTGAAATTTTAAGATAAGATGAGGAAAGGCTTTGAGAATCTGGGCTTGATTTGGGACAGGTTGTAAAGGTTTCTTGTGCCCAGACTTCTTCGTGATAGCACTTGTTGCGTGTTTGGGATGAAATGTAGGAAATTCCCTGGCTGGGAAGCTGGCATGCAGGGATGCTCAGTGCCTGTGTGGGTCTGCAGCAGCCTGAAGCGCTGTATCTGGGGAGTATGAAATAGTTCATTCATCAAAAAGAACTAGTAACTCTGCCTCCAAGTGTTTTAAATGTCAGTGTGAACTGTGTCGCCACTGATCAAAGAAGAGATGGGTAACGGTGTTGGACGCTGCTCTACTTCATCTTGAGCTCATCGTGCTTTGACAAAGGCAAGTTTGAAACACTTGAGAAGAACCATCTGGTTTATTTCTTCAACTCTTGTTAAGCAATAGAAATTAATTTTTATTTGGAAGCTGAGAAAACTCCTCTTGCTGCTTTTTTGCTGCTAGGAACTAAACTTAAAACAGCTGATATAGTTATTCATCTTTTCCTATTCCTCTCAGAGGGGAAATGTGACCATCACATCACTTGGAGCAACTCTGATCACAAGGTCGAGCTCATACTCACCACTTTCCATACATCTTGCTTTATGATGCTCAAATTATATGATTAGTTTCAAAGTATTTTACCCTCTTTGCCCTTTTTTTTTTTATCCCACATGGGTGGTTGGTAGGAACAGGCAATGGAAACCCTGGATAGAAGGAAATAGTTTCTATTAATAGAGAAAATAAATGGCAGACACCATGTTCTGTCTGTTTTAGAAAGCTGCAAGCAAAGTTACATCCAAGCTCAGCATTCATCCCAGCCTTCAAGTCTGAAAACAGAGGGTAATTTAAATTAGAAGGGATATATGGGGGGGTCTTTGGTCAAGCCCCTGCTCAAAATAGGCCAAACGTGGAGTTGCAGCCAATTTTCCAGTTGGGTCAAGCTTCTTAGGGCTGTGTCCAGCTGAAATTGTGGTGTTTCCAAAGATGGAGAACTGAGCCCTTGCTGAAGTGTTTGACCACCCTCAAGGTGAATAATTTTTTTTTTTCCTTATTTCTAATTGGGATTTCCCTTGCTGCTCCTCCCTTGTCTCTTATCCTGAAGCTAGACAGGTATGAAATGAGTCTGGGAGAGATCCAGGACCCTGTGTGGAACTCAAGCCAGGACCCTCCATCCCTGATGCCTTACTGCTGCTAACCTGCCGCATTCTATGTGTTAACGACCTTGTCTTCCAGTCTATGACCATGATTAACTCAAGGTGTGCCTTCGCAGTGCTCTTTTGAACTGAACCATGAACTTCAACCTTTGTGGTTGATGGGTCACTGATCCCTGCTGCACCCATCTATGTTGCCTTCTAGGTGTGATGGTGCTGGCAGCTGCCTGCTCCTTGACCAAGGAGGCCACATTTGCGTTTGGTGGTATCTCCCTGCGAGGGTTTAAACATGGTGTGTGGTGGTGGGACTGATTCTGTCGAGGTTTCTCAACAGAGTGAGTAATTGCTATGTCCCCAGGCTTGAGAGTGGCTGTCCCTGGGGAGCTGCTGTCTTGCCAGGCAGAGGGAGCAGGTCTTGCTGTGCGGCGTGCCAGCTCACATCTGCGAGGTTGCCTTGGCTACCAGCTCGTCTGTAACCAAGAGGAAGGCTCAAAACTGAGGACTATCTTTGAGCTGTTTCCTTTCTCCCTGTAAAGGTTTTGCCTTTCCTTCATGGAGAAATTTGGGATTTGTGGCTCCTGCAAGCTTCAGAACATGGACTCTCTGCACTTCACCTGAATGCTGGTGGTGCCTGCTCTCTCTGAAGCCTGCTTGGTGCCTGGCTTATGACCAGCCTTACTCAAAGCCAAGCTTTTGATTTTTCAGTGACCATATTGAGCTGTTCCTGGGAATGCTGTGGGGGTGTAGGCATGGACCATGGCTGTGATTAGCAGGGTCCCACCCTGCTAACCTGTGCTTCTCCTGGCCAGAGACTGCTGTGAGTAGACTTGTGTGTTTCAGTGAATGCTGAACCACCTGCCTTTGGAGGAGCGTCTTCAGTGAGGACTCGGGGCTGTGCATCCTTGGAAGTGCTCCTTCAAATAGGGAAGTGTGGTCAGAGCTCTTGCTTGGGGTCTGAATGTGACTGGGTTTATTTTTCCAGACACTGTGCCTGGGACCTGCTCTGCAGAAGGTGAAGCTGGTCGGGAGCCATTCTATGCTGGGCAAGACCTTTTGGTGGCCCAACTCTGTGACATGCTTGGATTCATTCTCCACCCTTCTTACAGGGCTTCTTTGCCCTTTCTGAGAAGTGTGGGTAGGGTAGCAGCGCTCTTGGGTTCGTGCTTTTTTCTCAGTGCTGGGAGACTTTGGAAACATGAAGCTCCTCAACCCTCCTAGAGAAGACCTGAATAGTCGTGACTGTTGCCTAGAGCAGAGACTGGTGTCCAGGAAGCCTTAGGGGCTGCTGCTGATGTCTCTCTTCCTTTAAGTGCTCCCTTAAGCTTCCACTGTGAAGGCTTCCCTGGGGGCTTCCTTGCCAACAGACCTTCTCTGTGCTGAAGGTTGGGATCAGCTCACGTGCTCCCGGTTGCCTGTTTTTTTCTGCTGAACACCTTTGTACCTGCTCTGGGGTGAAGGAGAGGGTGCCCATTTCTGCCATGTGTGTTAGAAGTCCATGAACTCCTGCACCTCTGTTGCTAGCTGGACTGGGAGGACAGTGGTGGACTGAAAGCAGGGAAAAGAGCCAGGATGGGGTTGATGTCTGTGGTTTGTGTCCCTTGCAGAGAACGAACAACCCTGGGAGACACCCTGCACTCAGCTCCTCGTCTTTGTTGCCACGCCAGGCTGTGATGGGTTTCCCAGCTTGGACTCCAAGGAAAGCTGT